GCTCTGGTGGAACAGGTGAGTCACAGTAAACGAAGCATCTCTGGGCGGCAGGTTCAAGGTCACTTTGCCAGAGTCGGTTTTTATTTGTGTATTTTAACTTTTCATGTCAAATTACCTGGAAACACTCAAAGCTGCAGGAGCAGAGGCTCAGACAGCGCTATCATCAGCTCAGCAGCACATTTACTCGTACATTTGTGTCGTTTCTCAAAACAAATAACATCTAAAGGAATAAATCAGTAGCCCAGTGACGGAGCCCTGAGGCGCCTCTGATACAGCTGCTGATCCGTTCTCTTCTGCTCGTCCAGTTTATTAGTATTATTTGCTCGAATGTTATCCCGACGTTTGTGTCGTCGCAGGTGATCGGCGGTCGTCTCCGGCTCGTGTACGAGGAGTGCGACGATGGGACCGACGACTTCTGGTGTCACATGTACAGTCCTCTGATCCACAGCATCGGATGGTCGCGATCCATTGGACACCGCTTCAAACGATCCGGTGGGTCAGGTGATTCGATCCCAGGCCACCAGACTCCATGTAGAAAACAGTGAATTTAAGCCAGCGTGTAACATGAGGATGAAGAACATGTGCTGTGTGATTGTTCCCAGATGTGTCGAAGAAACTGGACGGTCAGATGGATGCACCTGGACAGCTGTTTGCCAAAGTGAGCTTCACCCGACGTCGTCGCTTTGCTACATCCGCCCACACCTGAGTCACCTGAGTTACCTGGTCCCACCTGTAGAGTTTCCTCATGGACATAAAATCAATTTATATCAATTTTGCATTTGTGTAACTTTAACTTTAACATGTTTCTAATTATAAGTTTAATTCGAAACATCTATGAGTCCCGCCCACTCAGCATGTTTCAATGATAACTGTGTGACACAGTGATGCAGTAACAGTCATGGTTATCTAAGTAATAATGATGCTAATGATGTTTTCAATTCAGTTTTATTTATTTAGCACCAAATAAGAACAACAGTCGCCTGAAGCTGCTCAATAACACAGAGAAGAGGAAAAACACAATAAGATAACGCCACATGAGCGAGCGCTTTGGCGACAGCGGGGAGGAAAAACTCCCTTTTAAAAGGAAGGAGGAACCAGGCTCGGGGGTCGTCCGTCTGCGGTGACCTGTTGGGTTGAGGGGAGGGCGACGGGAGCTTGGAGGAACGGGAATGAGATTATCCTGTTTTTCCTGAAGGTGAAGGAAGTGGATCAGAGCGGCCACTGGTTCGAAGATGGGATGAAGCTGGAGGCCATTGACCCCCTGAATCTGTCTGCCATCTGCGTGGCCACAGTGAGGAAGGTAATAGCGAGCTGAGCGCTCACTCTGACGCCGGCTGCTCCGCCCTCCGGCTCCATCTAACCTGTCGCCTCCTCCTCAGGTCCTGGCAGACGGGTACCTGATGATCGGCATCGACGGCTCGGAGGCGGCCGATGGCTCGGACTGGTTCTGCTATCACTCCACGTCTCCCTCCATCTTCCCCGCTGGCTTCTGTGAGATTAACAACATCGAGCTGACGCCGCCTAGAGGTAGGAGTGCCTTTGAAAGGC